GGCCTTTCCCCATGCAACCAAAGAACAAACAAGACTCCCAAACTTGTTTGGCCTTTGACCAGAGGTCCCATCCCGATACAACAGTGGTCTTTAAAGTCCTTATGTCCTTGAGCTTATGGCATAGTTAGCATATGTATTCAATTTATTTTTTAAAACAAGTGTCATTAAATCCATATATACTTTATTAGAAAATTTATTAAAGGAATCTTCAAAAAAATTTGAAAAATTATAACTATTTAAAGAATCTTCTATTATAAGAATTTTTATTAAAAGAATAATTATTTTCAAAAAAATTTAAATTTTTAGCAAAAGTTTAAAAGTAAATAACTATTAATTAATAAAATAAAATATATAAAACAAAATATTATAAAAATACCACCAAAATGCTTTGTATATTTCAATATTATTTAAAATGATAGGAAATTTTGACTTATTTAAATTTTTATTAAACTTGTTACTAAAGTTTATAATTAAAATACATTTGCTAATATATCTTAAAAAGTGTATTGACAAAATTAATATTTGTAATTTATTTTAAAAGCCTTTAAAAAAATTTAGAAAATATATAAAATTAATCAATAAAATATTAATTAATTTTGACTAATCAAAAATTTAATTTATAAGTTGTAATAATTATATCAATAAAATAATTTATATATTTGAAGTAATTTTCAAAAGGTAACAAAAAAAAGTTTGCAATCATAATATGATATAATTTTTTAGAATTTGTATTATATAAGATCTTTAAATAAAATGTTTCAAAAACTTATTTTTGGTTTTATCAAAAAAGGAAAAGAAAATTTTTTAAAAAGACAAAGAGTATTTAAAGAACCTAAAGGTCAGCTATTGAATAAAGACACTCAAATTTTATTAAAATAAAAACAAAAATACTTTGGAAGTAATTAAGATTTTCTGAACAAGTTTTTGAATCTTCTTTTAATATATCAACATGGAGAATATTCAAAAAAACTTCAAATATATTTAAAAATTTATTATAATTTAAAATAAATACTAACTTATATATTTAGTTTTTAATAAAAGTATTGAAAGAATTATGGAGTTCCATGAAGGCCTTTATAAAAAAAATTGATCAATTGTTAAAAAATTATAAAAGATAAGATTATTCACTTTACCTAAAAAATGAAATTCATGTAAGTTAATATTTAATTACTGAATATGATTTCATTGAAATCAGGTTTATTTTAAATTTTTTTAAAGATTCTTGGAAACTTATATTTTATTTAAATAGTGTATAATTAAGAATATTGTAAAATAAGTATTTTGAAAAAATATACCTAAAACATGAAGATTTTCATCAAACAATCAAGAAATTTTTTTAGCAATAACATTTAAAATTTTATAAAGACCTTATAAGAAAATATCAAAAAATATATTATGAAAAGCATATTTATTAAGTGATAATTTTTATAAATATTAATAATTTTAATTCTTTAGTTATTTAATAATTTATTGTTTTAAAAGTTTAAAAATTTGTGATGTTATGTTTTTGGTTTTTGATAAAGGGTATTTGGATACAATAAATATAAATGCAACTTTACTGATATTTTGATTTGGAAACAATCTCGAAAAATTGCTGAATGTTTTAAAAATCTTTATAATTGTTTAAAAAGATAAATATAAAATATAATAGTTTGTATTCTCAAAAAAGTCTGGCCAAAAAAAGATGCTTTTGATAAACAAGTGGTATTTATTATTACAGTATATTAAAACAGTTCTTAATCTGAATAAATAAAATACTTTAATAAATAAAATATTAATTAAAAGCAAAATAGAAAAAAATAAAATAAGTTTTAAAAATCTTCAAAGTATTATAAATTATTGCTAATAATATTTTTAGAAGAGAATTAAAAAAGAACTTGGATTTAAAGAAGAAAATTCAAATAATAAAGATAAAGAAATGACTAATCTATCAATTATTATTATAGAAGAATTTCTAAAGAATTATGAAAATATTAAAAATAATCTGAAACTATTATTAAAAAATAGAAAATTAGAAAGAAGAACTTCAGCAATAAGCAAAAACTTAAACAAATAGAAAATATAAACAAGAATTATATAATAATAAAAAATTATATAATAATAAAAATAATTTTATAAGTCAATTAAATATTTTAAATTGAATATTATTAAATTATAATATATAAATATAAATATAGTTTATTATTATTAAAAAATACTAAAAATCTTTGAAAATTAATATATAAATTTTTACTTCAAGTTTTTGTAATAATAATAGAGATCCTTTGGAGGTCTATACCCAAAAATCTTCAAAGATTTTTGTCCAAAAAATTTCCTGATATAAGTTAAATAAAAATATATATATATAATATATAGTTATATAGAAATAATTATACTATTAGAACTTATTAAATTATTATAATTGAATTAATTAATTAAAAGATCAAATATATTTTTAGCTTTTTGTTAATTATTATTAAAAACTTTTGTAATTATAATAGTATTATTTTTAAATAATAAGATTGAAGAAAATAGAAAAATTTTAGTTTTTTTTTAATAATTAATAATTATATTTTGAGAAATACTAGTTCAAGCATTAGCAATAATATAAATAATATTTAAAATTATAAATTTGTTCAAATAATTGTTTGAATTTAAAAAAAAAATTTAATTAATATTTAAATTTTATAATAAAAAAACAAATTATTTATGTTTGCAACATTATTAAAAACATTAATGTAATCTTGTAAAAAAATTTGCTTATAATAATATTTAAATAAATTAATAATTTTAGTATTATAAAATTATAAATAAAATATAGTATTTGATAAAAAAAATTCCATACAAATATTAATAAGCTTTATAATAACTATATAAACAGATATATTATTTAAAAGAAGAATTATATTATGATTTTTTAATTGTATATTATAATTTAATTTTTTAAAAATATTATTAATTATTAAAATTTGCATTCAAGTTATATAATTACTTGAAAAAAATTATAATTAAGATTATATATTAATTAAAAATTCTTATATTGATAATTTTCTAATAATAATTTTAATAACAGCAACATATTGTATATAATAAAAATAATTATATATCAAATAATAAATTAATATCATATTTGATTACATAAAATTAATAAACATAACTGTACTAAATAAGCTTTTAAATAATAAATAAAAACCAGCGGTCAAATAAATTCTTAAAGCAGCAATAAATTAATGAATATCATTTCTTTATTTGATTAATCATTTATCATTCAAGCAACAATTATTACTTTATTTGAAAGTGCCTTCATTTAAACATTATGCTTTCATCGTTGGGCATCGTTACGCAACGTTTCATTAAGAGATTTCGCTTTTTTTTTGTTCGATAGTAATTCAAACGAATTACGAAACGTCTTCGCTAAGTACCTGTGGCGTCAAGGACGCAGGTTAAACTTTTCAAACATCCTACGTGGAGGAGACCCCTGTACAATCGTGAATACACATACTGGTTTTTACTTCTCTCGTCAAGTCTTATTCTTAAACAAAGAATATTATTCTCGAACACTGGTCGTTTAAATTCTGTTTCATAGTCATCAATTTTTTTCTTATCTTTTATGCAAAAAGATTTTTTTTGGTATATGTACAAGTCGGAAGTATTCAGGTGTTCGACCAAGAAAATATCTATTAAAAGAAAGATATTTTCGAACGTCTACTTTAAGGTTTCTATGTGATTATTGTTATTATGTTATTATATTATTATTTTGTGTGTCAACAAATTATCTGCTACTTGAATATCATAGAGCCACAACATTAACCTGTCGGTAACCAAAGAGAAAACCAAAATTAACTCATTATATATCATAATCACCACCTCGAACCGTAATCATAATATAATTACCGGGTTAATCAGCGTGATGTTCATTCTCGTTGAAGATTCGTGCCTTGATGCTTGTTGAAAGTGCGTCTGATTTTCCGGGGTAAAACCATGAATGAGAGTGACATATCTTAATCTCCTGTGTTTTTCCAATCGTTTTATGTCATCGGATGTAAGTTTTTTCGATGGGGATACTTGTAATTCCTCGAGATTTTTAAATTTACAAAGCGCCCTGGCAAGTTTCTAGATGAATCATCATCAACGAGTTGACACCAATTATATATAAATTATTATACACTTTTATTGATAATAAAGCTTAAGATGAAACACACACATGACGCAAATACTCACGCTTTGATCTTTCTCTTGTAGCCTGCATTTGAGGACCAATGTTTTGATATTCGGACATCTCATCGCCAATCTTTCTAAAGCCTCCGCGTCAATGTTATAACTTTGTTTTTTGACCATTAGATCTTTAACACACGCCTCGTACATTTTCAAAACCTTCAACGTTCCTTTATTACGAACGGACAAAGTGTGCGCGATTGATGCCATGGTGTGCCACGAGTGATGACGAACCGTGTATTCTTCCAGCGATTTGCATTCTTTCGCAATTTTAACGAATGGTTGATCGGTCAACTTCGTGCATGATATAATGATTATGGATTTTAATTTAGTACAATAATTGGCAATCTCCTCCACGCTCTCATCGGTAATATATGAGTTGTATGCAATCATGAGATGCTTGAGTTTTGTGTTGCGATACCGAGTTATTGCTTTAATGGAGGCATCGGTCAGATAGAAACACATGAAAATTTCGATTGATTCCAGGTGATGACAATTTTTTACAATCGTCTCCAATGTGTTATCTCGTATGTGTAAGGCGGCCAAGTAAAGTTGTCGCAGGCAAGGCCGATGCTTCGCAAACGCCGTAGAAAATAAAGAATAGTCCTGTTTATGAATAGCCCTTATCCGAAGTGACTCCAACTTTGCAAATCGACCCGCCAAGGATTCTGCCACCTCATCGGTGACGTCATTCTCAAATTGCGAACTCAAGGATTTAAGGTTTTGCAGTCCGGTGATAAGACCTTGTAAACCGGCGTCGTTGATGTATTTACACTCAAAAGATCGCAAATTTGGAAAAGATTTCGTGATCATCCTGGCGAACTTCAAGCTGCTGACCCGTTGATGTAATTTTAAAGAGACAATGTTTGTGCATCTTTCTCCGATATCCCGAAGAACATCTGAGGACCAACTCCTGCTACAATCGTGTACCTCCAAATGCCGTAGTAGAGGGCAGCATCCCTGGCGTAATGGGGTCAAGGCATTTTCCAACCATTCGTCGTCACAATTGAGTACATTCAAGGTAATCAAATTTGGCGTTTTTCTCAACATTTGCTCTACGTTTACATGGGTGAAGGGTGGTTTCGTTGTGACAAAGGTCAGGTGCTTCAGATTTGGACACATGCGAGAGATGAGTTTGAGATCGGTGGAAGTGAACCCGGGATCTGTTTTATCGCTACGGTAAACTTTGAATACGATTCTTCGGACCATGTGCCCGTAGAGGAATAATGATTTTCTCTTACGGAGAGAACGTATGAACAATTGTGCGGACTCTGCGGAATACCATACGGGCGATTTCCATAGTTTCCTCACAAAGACCTTGAATGATGATGATGACGAAGAAGAAAGAGTGAGGTTGGCAGTTTGAACACGCCATAACGTTGATGACTAAGAAACACGTAAGGATAGATATACCATGGTCCAGGTGGGATGGACGAAGAGACATTTTAGAACGTCATCCTGACGCTCGAAGAATGAAGAAATGCTAAACAGTATGTCAGCCGTGAGTAAGGCTTTTTGTGCTGGAGTTCGCCTCTCCATATCAATAATTATTTTTGTTTTTATTTGTATAAATAAGGAGAAGAAAATGTGAAGAGAGAATTAAGGGAATTTAAGGAGGTTTGACGAGGTATTTATAAGACCTCATTCTGTGTGCTTTATGAATCAAAATGTCAATTATAATAACATCAAAACGAATAATCAATTTTGAAAAGTTTGTGTCACATGGAATGATACGCTAATAGTTTTATACAGTTCGTTGATTCATTCCACAATGATCATTGTAGATTGGCTAGCCCATAAGTAACATATTTTTGATAGATTGTGATCTCCTAAAAAAAAGAATTCAATGAAATTTACTTAGAATTATTAGCCATAAGAGAGTTCTCGGGTGTGTGACCATTTCGGCAACATGCGTGAAGAAAAAGAATTTACTAAAGAAGCTTCTCGGTGGTAAGTGTTCAACTTTTGCCATCCGAAACCCGAGACAATGATTATATTTGGCATCTCTTGCATACGTTAGGAGAAAAACGTGCCTGATTTTCTTTCAGAAAACACCAATAATCTTCGCGGTTAAGGTGATGACTTGAGCAAATTTGTCGTTAGATCGTCGATCGTCCTTTTCAAGATAGCCATCTTCACCATTTGTCCCTTGGCAAGTTGAATGGAAGTTCAGGTGAAACAATCATTCGTCCGTCCATCCGTCCATCCATCCATCCGTCCGTCCGTCCGTTCACCTTATCCTAATCCTTGGTTTTTGCACCGTCGATCAGAAAAAAAAAAAGTTTTTTTTTTTCATTACGATCTACACAAACTGTTATTGTCGCACTATTTCTATTCATTGGTCTATGCGGGATTATCAGGGGAAAACCGATGAAATTATATATCCGTTACGTTATTTTTATTATATCATTCGTTATTACTATTATTATACGCAACATTTATATATATTATCACGATTCAAAGTTTCTTTTTTAATCTCATTGACATTCTTTGCCCAACACCACTCTAACCACACTCATCATCTCTTCTTGGGACAATAATACACCTTACTCGTCTCCTCTGTTTCAAAAAAACCATAAACGGAAATGTGACTAACCTCGGATGAATCGAATTTCGTTGAAATTCATTGTAAATTTTCCATTTGCCGCTTCTTCCCCTCCCCCTCATTCTAAGCTTTACCAGGATATTCATTCTATTTCACGGTTAAATGAATTTTCGTTCAGGTGTTGTTAGCCTACCTTCCGTATTTGGTTTATGGAATGGATAAAAACTATCAAGATTCCTTTAGTGAAACCAAGGAAATTTTCGTGATCAATTCATTCTATTTCTCCTTGACATAATAACGATTGTGTCATGTTTGGAAGATACACTGTAAGACTTCAAGAATGCACGTGGAAAACCACCCCTTTCTGGTTTTCAGTCTATGGTATCAAAAAAACAAAGATAAAGGTGCCTAATTTTTTTATTTTTTTTTATATACTGTATACTGTTCTAAAATACAACTTTAAAACCTGAATGGGTTAGACGAATATGTACAAAAAGCTTGTTTTCCGTTGGTTATTTTGTTGTTCGGCGAGCCACCACTTATCGATATGGTAACTCTTGTAATACATCAGCATTATGCCCAAAGTTGTGCTCTTTATTATAACATTCTTTCCAAAGAGAGTAATATAATAGCCCAATATAAAAAATTATATAAGACGTTGAACGTAGCATTAAATGTTGACTGCGCTCTTGTGTACGTATTCAGCCAAACGGACGCATGAATGAGTTTACCAGTTTTACTATGTATTATCAGATAAAAGACACGTGTTTTCACGTGATTTATGTTTTTTTTTTTTTCTTTTAATCGCATGAAGGACATTGATCATCATTGTTAATTAAGACGAACTGTAAAAATAAATAGAATCTAATGTTTTGACACGTAAAACGTAGAATACATACTTTACATTACAATCGAGCATTGGCATTAATTAATCTCAAATAGATTCATTCCCCTTTTTCTGGTTTCCGGTTTCTAATTCTCTGCCGCCAGTCTCCCTTTATCGGTTCAAAATTTGGATTATTTGAGGCTTCCCCTGATTCTATCTGTTCCTTGATCCATGTCTCTGGATCTTTAGAATGAATACCGTTCTGTTGCCTTCTGACCTCTTCCCAATCAGTGTTGGCAAGAAAATCTTCGGCGGCTTTCCATTTTTCCACGAGCGTTGCCATTTTTTTATTTTTGAATCCGGAACTTGCGACCTCCTTATCTTTCTTTCGTTTTTTCTCATTTACGCTGACCGAACCTTGCCAAGATGAAGTTTGTGAACCCGTAACGGATCCCGAGCCATCATCGTCTGACGAATCCGGTCTCACTTCCAAACCGTCGGTGTCTCCGACTCGCTGCGGAAGTGGGGGTGGAGGTGGTAGGGGTGGAAGAGGGGGGTAAGAAGTTTGATGTGCCAACGCTGTGTTCACCGGAAGCGTACCAAGGCTTGTGGTCAAATCAGGGCTTGGATATGTGAACGAAATCTGGTTCGTCTTCAGGTGTATCCAACTGTGCTGTTGACCGTCGGAATTCCATTTGCACGACCAACCCGCAGGCGAAATCTGTTCCTCAAGACTTACAAGCAGCGCTTCCAACCTTTCCAAGATGGTCTTTTCGAAATACTGAGTGTTCAATGCTCCAACTTGCCAGTCATACAATCTGGTGGCAAACTCGATCTGATGCCTTTCAAGCTTCATGTGTGTCGCCAGAGGAATGAGGCCTGACAGTCGCCCGTAAACATCTCGCGAACGAAAATGTAATGGCGAATCAGAAGGTGGAGCGATTAACGAGGCGATGATGCTGAATTCATTTCTTCTGCCAGTTGATGATGATGATTGGTTCTCCGCCTCTCTGTTAAAATCTTGCTGGGCTGAGGTCACGTTGGATGTCGGATCCAAACTGTCACCGGAAGCCGTTTTCAAGTTATCGCCTTCCTTTAGGATCGCAGTATAGGTGGTAGTGGTGGTGACGAGAACGGGATCGGAAACGCCTTTTGGCACATCAATCTCCCAACGAGTTTCACCGGTCCTACCATTGTAATAATAGTAGCGATTATTATCTTGACTCCAATACTGCTGCCACTCGCCATCGGGAAGTGAGGATTGCGACGAGGATTGATCGTCGTCTTTTTTCGCTTTGGGCCTTCTCAAATCGGTGCCAGATTCATCGTTCATCATCGAGGTATCATTACTTATGGAAGTAACGGGGAGGGCGTTGATCTCGGACATGAAATTTTTTAAGGCGACCTCGATGCTATCTTCGGATTGATCTATTGCAATCGATTGTTCGGATGTAGGAAGGGAGCGAGTTGGCGGTGGGATCGGGAGGTCAAGCGACGAACTTGAGAAAACGGTCTCTGCCTTTTCCGCGGGCGAGGACTCTGTCTGAGAATCTTCGACATCCTCTTCGTTTTCGCTCTCACTATATTCACCAAGAAGCTCTTGTAGTGCATTTTTTGATTCTTGACATTTCTTTGCTTCATCGGCGGCTCTATTTTTCACTCTAATAGAGGAAATAGGTTGGTCTAGCTGAAGCATCGGTCGTCGTCTTGGAATGTCTCTTCGCTCCATGACGCAAAGAACATCACATTTACCGAGAGTGAGAAAAACAAGTTGTACTTCTAACCCAATTTCACATGGTATGCATTGAAAAGTTAAGTTAATCAAAATAATAAAATTTTAAATGAGGAACTTTCTGTGGTATGAGAACGACACCATAAAAAAAAAAGAAAAGGAAAGGAAAAAGGAAGAAAAAAAAAGTAAAGTCGTAAATTTCATTCGTTAGAAACGAAGAAAAACATCGTGTGCAGCTTATCTGGTCCGTTGTTAGAACAGTTATGTTTATTAGAAGTTAATTATATACATGACATTCAAGATTCACAGTTTTAATTTTTAAATTTATCGTATTTGGAAGACGTATCAAGTTTGGAGATAAGTAGAAATAAAATTGGAGTTGATGATAAATTCGTTTATGAGAACCTACTGTGAAGCTCAGCAGAGGCTGGACAACGAGAAAAAATTTTCAATAAAAAACAAAATATAATCTGCTGCGGCATGAAAACTTACGATATGCAAAGTAGTAGTAACCAAGAGCAAGAAAAACAAGGCCAAATTTTCCCCACGTCAACAGCAGAAAAAGTATA